TGTGGAGGCTCTGACTGATTTTGTGTTTGGTTTTAGGGCCCTCTGGGCAAACCTGGTCTCCCTGGCATGCCTGGTGCTGATGGGCCCCCGGTAAGTGCTGCTCTCCCTCCTCTTCCTCCTCCTGCGGCTTCTCCCCAGCCTGGGCTTGGAAATGGGAGCCCAGGTTGGGATCTGAGCCCCTCACAGCTCCAAAGAGGGGGAATGGGAAGGGTGAAAGCAAGGAAAGCTTTTTTGGTTGGGATAAAGGCGGTTTAAAATGGAAATAAAGAGCACTGTATTAAAATGGAAATAAAGGCACTTTAAAAGGGAGATAAAGAGAGCCTAGAATAGAAATGGGGTTTAATATGAAAGAAAAGACAGTTTAATATGAAAAAAAAATTAACATAAAAAAAGTTTAATATGAAAAAAATGTTTAATATGGAAGAAACATCTTGCAAGGTCAGCTCAGCCTCCTTGGAGGCTGGGGTCGGTTTGGAAGCCCCATCACAGCTCTGCTCACCCTGGGTGCTTCTCACCATCCCTTCAGGCTTCTCTTTCCTCTTTTCTTGCTCCTTCCCTGTGTTCTGTGGGTGTTTATTCCCATCCCAGGTTTCACAGGGGTGATAAGAACAGGTGGAAATTCCCTGTCAGTGTTCCATTCTCTAACCCCCCTTTAAACATCCTTTTCTCCTCGCTGTCGAAATCAGTCTCAAAAAAAAAAAAATCACCAAGCTTTTCAACCCCATCTCATTGTTACCCATCTCAGAGAGACATTCATTTAAGAATGAAAAGAAAACCCTGCAAAAATTGTTTCATTCTGTAAATGCAGAGCACGGCCTGAGGAGAAAAAAGAAAAATTAAAAAAAAAAAAAAAAAGAAAAGAAAAATTGCATTTCCCAGCCTGGGATTGTCATTCCTACAGAGGGCACTTGGAACATCCGTACAATTGTTAGCTGAGTCAACAGAGCAGCTCCAGCAAAGCCCAGAACATCTCTAAATCTGTAGGTTTTGATGTGAAATTCCTGCAGCAGCCTCTGGGGAGCTTCTGCTGGAGAAATTCTATTTTTAAGCAGCCTGGAGGCTGTGGAGGAGCTGCAGAGTGGCTGTGCATGGGCAGGGACCTTTCCCACAGGTGGGCTTGGGTTGCTCTTTCCAAGGACAAAAAGGGTTTTATTTATGGAAATCTGTCTTGGAAAATCCCTGAAAATCCCTGAGGGCCTCTCTGGCAGAGCTGCTCGTCAGTTTGTGATCTCAGGAGATGGGCACAGTGAAAATGGGGATGGTTCAGTGCAGGGTGGACCAAAGCTTTGGGAATGCTGCTGCAGGTTCATCCTGGAGCTGGAGACAGGAGTGGTTTTAGGGACGTGTCCTGGTGCCATTAAAATCACAAATCAAGCTGAAATTTGAGTTTTCTCCCCCGTTTTGCTGCTGGAGGAGTGACAGCTGTCATCTTGTTCCTTTATTAAACTCAGGGAGTCTGCCTTGTCTGCCATTCCCTTCTGAAGCTGATGATGGAAAATGCTCATCATGTTCTTTGTTATATGGGTAGAAAATGGTGAATTTAAAGGAGAGAGCTCAGTGAAGACCCCAGAGAGTGCAGAATGGCTTTAGAGCAGCTGGGTGTGCTCCCGTCATCCTGAGCAAACCCAGGGGTGCAGTGAGTGCCCTTCTGGGGGTCACTGATATTGCAGATATTGCCAAATGTGAAAAACGCCAATCGCTTGTTTTTAAAATTGTAAAAGTTTAATAGTAATAAAATGGTTAAAAAATAGTAATACAGTTAGATTAATAATAGTTTGGAAAATTTGAATTAGGACAATATGAGACAATAGAAACAAAGAGTTATGGACAGTCTGGGTCCACCTTTTTCTGGGCAAAATAAGCCTGAAAAAGGACCCACATTAACAGAGGATTAACCCTTAAAAACAATAACCTGTTGCATATTCATACACCTCATACAAGGTGCATAAATTCCATTCAAACACAGGATTCTGTCTGGTCATCATCACCTTCCTCCTCTGAATCCTGACAGCACCTTTGAGGAAGAAGTTCATTTCTTCTCATAAAGGAGCAATAAATTCTTTCTCTGAAAGATTCAGGTGTCCTGTGGCTGCTATCTCAGTGCCAGTCCTTTCTTTAAAAANCAGACCAGGAGGTGTTAGAGCCTTGCTCAGCTCCTTTGGGCTGGAAATCCTTGGGGAGGAGTCAGTGAGCCTGGAAATCACTTCCCCCTTCCCTTTCCCAGTGGGAAAAGCTGTTTCAGGAGCTCTTGGAGGGTCAGAGAGGGCTCAGGGAGCTGTGGGAGGGTGTGGATCCAGCCCAGTGTATCCAGCAGTGGGAATGCAGGCACTCACCTGGGGGGAGATGCAGGAATTGTGCTTCCATCTCACCTTTCCCCCCTGCCCTTGTGTCCCCACAGGGCCCTCAGGGCGAGCCAGGGCCCCCAGGACAGCAGGGCAACCCAGGGGCTCAGGTAAGGACAAATCTCCTTCTCCACAGCTGGGAAAAAACAGCGGGAATTCAGCACCAGAAAGGGGAGCAGCATTTGGGGAGATTTGGCTTGAGGAAACATTTCCAGTCCCAAAAATCTTCCTGCAAACCCTCCCAGAGTGGGATCCCCCAGCTGTCACCTGGCTGTGGCACGGCCAGAGCAGCTCCAGGTGGCCAAATCCCATCCTGTGGGATGTTTAACATTCCCTGTGCAGTTCCTGGTGAACAATGCACATCTCCAGGCTTTTCCCATGGCTCTCAGGGGATCCTGCTCCTCAGAGCATCCCTGACATTTTATTGCCCCCCACAAGACATTCTGGGCATGAAGGAGCTGGGGATGTAATGCACTAAAATAATGCACAGCCAAGATGCATTTGGAAGGAATAACTCACTCCCTAACGACCTAAATTTTAATTTTTTTTTCGTTTTTCACAGGGTCTTCCAGGTCCACAAGGCGCCATCGGTCCCCCAGGAGAGAAAGTGAGTTGAAATTCAGCTCTGGGTTCTCCTTCCTCAGCCGTGGATTTGCATTTTGCTCCTTCAGCTGCTCCTTTGCCCCATGTGCAACATCTGTTTGCAGCCGTGGCCATGAAAGTCTAATGCTCTCATTCCAGACAGAGGAGAGTTCAGGCCAGCTCAGTTCACCTCTAATTCATCATATTTGCATTCATTTCCCCTCTGAGGAGAAACATTTTGAAGGCAGCCTATGGTAAAACATGAGGAGAGGATTGAAAATTGATTTTTTTTTTCTGTGGGTTTTGGGAGTCTGAGTGGGATGATAATGGGGAGAGCCCGTGGATCCTTTCCCTCTGCCTCTGATTTTCTGGCTGTTGACATGGGGCTGGTGCTGGCCTTGGACCAGCAGAGTTTAATGGGGGTGAATTTACCCCAAGAGCTCTGGAACCAGTGGGATTTAAAGGAGGAAAATTTCCCCCAAGGACTCTGGGACCAGCAGAATTTAAAGGGGTGAATTTACCCCAAGAGCTCTGGATCCAGCAGGGTTTAAAGGGGGAGAACTTTCCCCCATGAGCCCTGGAATGAGCAGGCTTTAAATGAGAAAAGTTTCCTCCAAGGGCTCTGGGATCAGAAGGATTTAAAGGGAGTGAATTTACCTCAAGAGCTCTGGAACCAGGAGGATTTAAAAGGGGAAAAGTTTCCTCCAAGAGCTCTAGAACTTGCAGAATTTAAAGGAGGAAAATTTCACCCAAGA